TCTTTTTGTAACTGAGATGAAGAGGAAATTACTTTAAAAAAAAACATCATCTAATTAAAATGTAAGAAAATGACAGAACTATTCACTATTTTCCTGCCATTACTTTTTTTTTCGTTTTTTCTTTTATTATTTTTTCTCAAATTCGATGGAAGCAAGAAAATACTAAGAACGATCAGAGTTTGTAAAGCATTTGATAATAAAAGGTACTGTAAAAAATTTTACTTTTCAGTCAGAACTACACTGACCAATAAGTAGATTTAAGAGTAAATAGAAACAATTTATTCTTTCGAATCATCTACCATTATGAACAGAAAGATCGTTAGTCCTCCTCATGATATCTGGCCTGTACTATGTAGCATAAGTAACAATTTTATTAGTATAAAAGGAAAAAAATTTTGCTAAAAAAGTTGTCCACATAATTTGGGTAAATACCAATGAAATCTTGTTCTATCTAAAAAATAAACAAATCATAATCTGCATTTCTTTTCTGAAATTGAAACTTTCTTCACTCTGGTAGTCTAGAAGACGTAAATATCTTTTAAAAATACTTGATGTAATAGGGCCAGGTTATATTGAATTGTTCAAAATATTACGTCCTGGAGGAGGAACGCAACTTGATGCTTGCTTTCACAAGCTCCGACGTACTCGCAAGTCTGCGGTGCAGATCAAGGATCGGAATGACCCCTTTATCTGGCGCGGACGTACGTCGGTGGTCCTTTATTTAGGTCAAGAAATTGAATCCCTTTACCTGGGATAGGACCGTGAGCGACAGTTGAGGGAAGGGAGAATTTTTATTGTGAATAATTAGTTGGAAAACGTGATTGGCTTACAATTACAAATAACTTGTTTTATTGATGATTAGACGGAAGTTCACAATGAAATAAAATTTGTAAGATTTTATAATATGTACGTATACATATATGTATAACAATCGCGGTCTGAGCAAAATTCCGTGTTCGTTATGTCTGATTGAGATCGAGAAGATTGGGCCACTGACACCGAATTTCACAATCACAAGGAGGAATGCTAAGGGGGATAGAGAACAGGAAGAAAAAGAAAAGGAAAAGAAAAGAGAGAGAAGAAAAGAAGAAAAATGAAAAGGAAAGAGATCACTCAGGTAAAAGAAAGAAAATAAATAACTTACTGCTAGATCTATGCTATTTGTCGGAAATGAAGAGTGTAATTGCTGTGTCTGTGAGGATGGACTCAAGTTTTGCGCCAAGAATAGGAAGCTGGTTTCCGCTGGATTGCTCACGATGGTCCAAAAATGCACGAGATCGTTGCACAGAATAATTAACAACTGGAATAAATACTGATCTGTCTAAGCCTAGTAGGCTAGATTGTTAGGAGACCCTGAAGGGGTGCTGAAGAGAAGTTTCTGTCCCGGCTGCGGGTCGGTCGAGAAGTGTCTTGGCCTTTTGGCTTTTATCAAAACGTTAGCTCGGTTGAGAGAGTGGGGTTTTAGGGAATTGTTTCGGAAATCTAATTTTCATGCCCAAATATGGTTATAGGACTGTGCTTCGAATGTTTTTTAGAGGTGGGGTTAAGAATATGTCGCAGTGTCTTTAAGATAATTTTGTAGGAGATGCATGTGGCAATAAGAGGATTTCGAGAGTCTTTTGTTAAAAAAAAACGTGGCAGCAATCTTGAAAAGGAAATATCGATATTTCTAAGAAGGATGTCGCGATACTGTTTTCGTTGACTAAGCGCGTGGGAAACAAGATCGGAGTTGGTTCAAGATTGTTAATATTTCCGGAGCATCGAAACTTCCAGAGATCGTGTCGTGTGGTAACATGCCTGAGCGTATCCGGCCATATAATAAGTAATAATAAATTCAATTTCCCTTATTTATAAAAGAAGTCTAGAATACGCGGAGTCCGCAAGACGTAACAAAAAATTCATTGTTTTTTCTGTTTTTTCTAGTGACTTTCAAGACCATTTATTTTATACAAAGAATAAAAATTAATCAATGATATTGCCCTTTTCGTTCAATGACCTTCTGCCATCTTTCGGTAAACTTCATAATTCCATTCTCGAAAAATTTCCTATCTGTATTAACTCATTAACGCCCAAAAGTCCTAAAATATTAGCCTTATTTGCAACTGTATTTTGCGTAGAGAGACATATTATATAAGGTTAGAATAGCATTTCCTTATGTTGTTGGGGTCGTTCTACAAAATTCCGGCATCAGAATTCGTTTAGATTTACAATAAAATTAAATATGGCGGAATTTTTGGGAAAAAGTCGTGAAAGATCGACAATTTTATTTTTTTAAGCTTGATTTCGTTTCAAAAACGTTACTTTGATACAGATACAAGTGTACATCTTGTCTCAAAAATGTTGAACTTTCAAGGTATGCATTGGTGAAAATGTGAATTCAAGATGGCTGCCTCAAAATGACGGTTTGAGCGAAAAAACTTAAAAAATAATGTATTTTTAGAATAACTCCGCAAAATCCAAGTATTTAACATCAATTTAGAATCAAACCTGTGTGTGGTCGAGGGTTATCATGATGAAAGACTATTGCGATTTCTCAATTCTGACCGCTTTTCTGCTATTGCTTCGTTCAATTTGTCGAACTGTTGATAGTCCGAATTGATCGTAACATTTCTTGGTAAAAGATCGAAAACCACCCACCACATCCTTCCAATCCCACCAGATTGAGAGCTTCATCTTTCTTTGGTGGGTGTCTGCTTTATATGTGCTTTGAGCTGGCTCATCGCGCTTGCTCCACGATCGCTTTCGCTTCACATTGTTGTGTACAATCCATTCTTCATCGTTAGTAATTATGCGTTTCAGAAATGGGTCGTTTCAGAAATGTTCACGTTTCAGAAGTTGATCTCAGATGTCTATGCGTTTTATGAGTTGAACTTCTTTCAATTCGTGCGGGACCCAAACATCAAGCTTACTGACGTAATCAAGTTGTTTCAAATGAACCGAGCTCACGAATGGGAGAACGTTGCTTCAATTAATGCTTTTAATTTATCATCATCAACCTCCGATGGCCGACCTGAGCGAGGTGCATCTTTCACGCTGTAGTCATCAGACGAAAAACTAACAAAAAACAACCAATATTGACAATGGCGTTCTTTTAGGGCTTCGTCACCATAAATTTTACGCAACTTCTCACAAGCCTGCACAGCGTTCTTTCCTTTTCGGAAGTAATGAAATAAAACTTGGCGAAAATGCTCGTGTTGTTTCTTTATTTTCAAAACGTTATAGAAAGAATAATTGTTGATCGATTCGCGCACCTTTTTCCTTGATGGAAGTTATAAGTGTTAACTGTCAAATGCGCATGGGTTCATCAATTTATACATGCGTTCAATATATTAAATATGTAACTAAAGCCATCTATCGGAAATAAACGCAATGATTTTTTGAACCAATACAATCCATTGTTTTCTATTTTGAAAAGCTTCCTCAAGACAGTTTTTAGTTGATTCTTCATTGCCCTCGGATAGCAACTTATGTCTCATCTACGATACCTGGAACCAAAATACAAATCAGAATAATTATATCGTATGCTTAAACAAATTTTATTTAAAAGCAGAGTTTCCAAGATACATTTTGCACAATACACCCGAACCATTCCTTCCAAAAGAGATTCGTGGATGGATACTATGTCACTACTTGAAATTCTAGTACTTTCCCTTATGTATTATGCTTTGCTCTTTATTGCTGTTCTGGAGTATTTCTTCTTTGTAGAAGAAAGTCCATAATCAATATTTAATCATGTTTGCTTAGTTTTGGAACTATAGTAATGTTCTTAAAAATATTGCATTGGATATTAATAATGAATATTATTAATGTATGATGAGAAATATGTCATAATATGACTGAATATCGTCCTTTTTAATTTATATCCTTTATATTTTATCACATTACTTTTTAGTAGGGAGAATTCAGAAACAATGGTGCACAAGAGATATTTTTATTTCTTCCGGATAGCCAAAACAAAATGCTATTATATTTTACGCACTATTATGATAGAGATCGAATCATGAATTATGAAATATCTACTTACTAATTACCATTTTGTGCTGAAATAAAATAATGATACACACGAGAGCTTTCCTATCACGTTGTTGGTTTGTTCAGACAAACTTGCCTAGTTACGTAACCATATGTATAAAAAAACTAATCAATTACATTTATATAAAAAGAACAATTTGGATAATTTTTGTTTATCTATATGATTATACAACTATTCAAAACTATCTGACTTAACTTGAAGTGGACAGAGAGATTGAAATCTCGGGCCCATAGTTAAATGAAGAAGAAAACTTATCTGATAGTTCTTATATAATCTAATTTTGATTGGTACATGCATGCAATATATACTGTATAAGAACATGCGAATATTAGTTTTTATTTCTATAATGTAAAAATTTTACTTATCAACTTACCAATAATGAAGATAGTATAAATCTCTTTACTGGTCCAATAAACAAATTGACCGCAAATTTGCAGCAATTTCAATGAAAACCCCATATTAAAACCATAGCCATCTGTGTCTACATTCAACTCGTTTTGGGGTCAAGGACTGCTGCCGGGTAACTTGCGGCAAGCTCTGTTGCGTATTTGGCGGCAGTTTGGAAACAGAATTTGATAATACAGATCCTGCGTCAAATTTGTTACCAATCTGCCATCAAAAATTCATAGTAAACTTTGCTCGAAATTTGTTCGCACAGGTTTGGCTATCTGAGTGATATTGAACTTATATAAATTGATACATAAGATTGATAAGATAATGAAAAGGCATTGCGTGCTTTTGGGGATCATTAAGAAATAAAAATGAATAACGATGTACCGCTAATGAATCAATGAATTTTACCGGCCTTGCTGATTGCGTAGCACGTTTGGCACTGTTTCACTGATTCGTTAGTGATGTCAGATGTCATTGATGGAATCAATAACTTATTCACTGATTTAAGTATAGAAAATAATGACGATAACCCAACAAAAGAATACTTTATTGTTAGTCGATTGAACAATTTCAGGAGTCCTCTCCGCTGATGGTTATTGCAAGCCTTTCGATGCTACCGGTACCGGTTATATGCGCAGTGAAACAATCACAGTAGTGTACCTGCAGAAAGCAAAGAACGCGAAACGAATTTATGCTACTCTAATCTACTCTAAAACTAATTGCGATGGTTGGAAGCCAGAGGGGATTACGTTTCCTTCATTGAGCATACAAAAGGAATTATTGAAAGACTTTATGACGACTGCGGCATCCCACCCGAAGAGCTGTACTACTTAGAGGCCCACGGCACTGGTACTTTAGCAGGAGATCCGATAGAAATTAATGCCATTGATCAGGTTTTATGTTCAAAGAGAACTACTCCTTTGTTGGTGGGCTCGGTGAAGTCAAATCTCGGGCATTCGGAACCTGCTAGTGGTCTTTGTCAAATAGCTAAAGTACGTATTTTAATGCTTTAACTGGCGGAAACTCAATACTACACAAAAAATAATACCAAACTAGTGAAGGATATAACACTATATTTTGATATTTTTGGTGTTTGATATTTTTGAAATTGAACGTTCAGAGTTTTGGAGTCACTCTATCCAATGGTGCACTTAAAAATTTCAGATGATGAAACTTAATAACATGGATGACTTAATATTAAAAAAGATGTGTGATAATATATTCTTATATAAAAACTTTGAATGCAAAATCACTTTTTAAATAATAAAGTTTAAAATAAAAATACAAGAAAGCAAATCTACACAACAAATATAAATGACCGAAATTTAATCACATACCATATAACTTATCATCATAATTATACTGATTCGTTACTTTGGTATTTTATTTCTTACAATTTATAGACTTTAGATAAAAACTTTTCTACTTGAAAGTAGAAGTATTTTCAATATTTAATTTTTTTCATATACATGTCCAGTTTTATTAGGTGTGCGAATTAATTTTGGTCCGTTTTTTCTTCCAAAAAAGACTTTAGTATGAAAAAACATGAAAAAGTACACTATTAAAATATTTGCCATCGCTTGCTATTATTTTTTTCCCATCTGTCTGGCAATTGTTGCATTCCGACGGAAAAACGACTCATCCTTCGAAGCGATGCATTCATTGAGCCATTTCTCTATTTTCATAATTGTTGAAGTGATGGTCCGAAAACCCGTGTGCCATCGATCCGAACAAGTGATAATCGGATGGAGCAATGTTTGGTGAATACGGCGGGTGAGATAAAACGTCCAGCCAAGTGCTTCCAAGGTGGCCTTCACAATCTTTCCAACATGTGGCCGAGCGTTATCGTGCTGGAAGATCACTTTGTCGCGTCTCTTTGCATATTCCGGCTTATTCTTTAATGCGTTGTCTAAACGGATCAATTGTTGTTGATAAGTTCGGCAGTGATGGTTTGGCTCTGTTTTAAGTTTTAAGTTCATGATACACTACACCCTTCTAGTCCTCCATATACAGAGCATTACTTTCTTGCCGTGAATATTCCGCTTGTGGTATGATGTGGATGGTTTTTCCTGGTCGCTAATGGATTTCCTTCGTTGGGATTATCGAAATATATCACTTTTCGTCTCCAGTCACAATACGATGCAAAAAACCTTTTGTTTTTTGCTGGCAAGCNTAGCCGGATCTAAAGCTGCTTATAACAAAATAAGACAAGTTGAAAAATACCCATACCTAAAAAGACCAATTTGCTTTTTGTTCTCGGGAATAGAAGTTGAATGGCATAACGTAGGTACGATTTTGCAACTTTACTACATAAATTTAATGAATTATATATGTACAACCTCATGTGTGCAATGCCTTTAAAATCTCATTTACGTTTCATTTGGATATATCGAAGAACTGATGAAACTACCTGTGTTTGCCAAGGCAATTGAGAAATGTAATGAGACATTAAAGCAGCATGATATATGCGTCACGGATATTATAATGAACGAAAACGAAACTACTTGCAACAGCATAATAAAATCATGCGTCGCAACCATTGCCACACAGGTATAAGAAAGAAAGATTATTTGTTTTATATTTGTATTATTTGGTCCGAATCTGGTTTATCTAAATACACATGTGCTAAATACATATCATATAATGCGTGTATTTACATAGGCACTTACCTATATAAAATCATGTTAACATATAATGTAACACATCTCAGTTAAAAGCGAGTACTTTTACGAATAACATTGTAGATTGGAATAGTGGATCTCTTAACACACGTTGGTGTCCTGTCCGATTATACGATAAGGTCACCATTGGTGAACTTATCTGCGAATACGTTATGGACGTTTTACTACCGAGAAACAATTTGGCGGCGTATTACATAGGCACAGCATACGAGCAGGCCAAGTTGCAGGTTTCAAAGATTTTAGAATTTCTTAATTACTATTTTTCCGCTTTTCTTAGTGGAGGAGATATCTCATTATATGCATTTATAAAGCCATGCATAACAGTATTAATCACTGTTTCTTAGGTCGACGACATTACTGAGAGTCGATCCGAGTACCTTGGCATTGTTAGGTCAAAACTGTTGGAACATTTCAGCCAGATATTACCATCGCAACCTTCAAAACGCCACAGTGTAACACAATCGGCAGGCCACGAAGTGAACGCGACATGTTCGAGACTACTGCAGAATATTACGCGGATAGTATACTGTATCCAATATTATCAAAAAAAATGGCAGCTTTGTTACCGAAAGATACGATACTCGTCGACATATTACCGACAGTGCCGCAAAATGATTTTCAGTTGATCATACCAAATTCGCTGGAGTCAACGATGACGTTGATTTCTCTGTATAAACGCGGCCAGAAGCATACCATACAAGACTTTTTAGAAGGAATCGGAGATCTTTATAATGTAGGACTTCAGCCACAGGTTGCACGTTTGTATCCGCCAGTTCAATTTCCTGTTAGTCGCGGAACACCAATGATATCTCCTCTCATTAGGTGCGTCTCTTCCTGCGTATCAAAAAATGAATCACATTTCTTTGTTTACATTACTATGACTAACTCCAAGACAATATTGCAGATGGGATCACTCTGAGGATTATTACTTATACCATTATAAAGGCGAAAATAGAATTTTCGACAAGGAAAGAGTCATCACTATTAAAACCAGTGACGAAGACTTTGAATACATGTCTGGTCACATAATCGATGGGAGAAATTTGTTACCGGCTATGGGTTACCTTTACGAAATTTGGAATACAATTGGCTTGTTGAAAGGCATTGATCATAGGAGTATACCGATTGTATTTGAAAATGTTAAGTTCCTACGTGCTACTCACCTATCGAAAAAAGACGAAGTGGAATTAACTCTTGTGATCCAAGGATGTAAATATTTTTGCAATTACTACAGCCTTGTCTCTCGATATTTCTTTTCAAGGACATTATGATAAATATTAATTATTAACTGTATACAACCGACGATAAGAAAGAAAAGAATATCATCGCAAAGTCGCAGCGATATTAAACTCACAACAAAAAACAAACCGGCAGTGTTGATTTCAGAGAGAGCAGTATTATCTTGTAATAATTCTTGTAATATTCTTATAGGTAGTGATAATTTCGAGATTATAGAGGGAGGCAATGTGATCGTCAGTGGAGTTGTGAGGGTGCCTGATGATGTTGCGAATGAGAAAATACCTGTCCAGTTCCTATCTAAGGATGACAATGCTGAGGAATACATGAACACTTCAGATATTTACAAGGAACTACGACTTCGGGGCTATCAATATAGAGACTTGTTTCGCTCATTGAAGAGCGCCTCAATTAATGGGAGCGTAGGGCATATCAAGTGGTCGACGAAATGGGTGTCGTTTATGGACAATATGTTACAAATGAAAATTCAGTCGCTCGACTCGAGAAATCTTTACGTACCGACTCAAATTCGCAATTAGTAATCGATCCCGAATATCATATGACACTGATACGCAAACTCTTAGTGGAGGAAAGATGTAAGTCTGCTTAGTTTACTTTTAAAACAAATTTCGTATTCCGACTTAATGCGCTCATTGTACAGGTTTCCTCTCTTTCATCTCGATAATGCTCATCTTTTACAGATGTACCCGTACGCGTTTATGATTCTTTCGAAGCTATTGTATCCGGAGGAATAGAAATTTGTGGACTAAAGTCCATGGTCATATCCCGCCGGCCAGCACAAGTTGAACCTGTACACGAGGAATACAAGTTCATTGCTTACCGCGATCATACCACGATCTCCTTGGAAGATGCAGTGCAATTATCGGTACATATCGCTCTTGAATATTACGATTTGAAAAACGTCAAAGTGGTTGAGATCGTTGAGGACGACGACAAGATTCTGCTGGAGGATTTAGTTACTCCAATCGTTCACATGGTTCTAAACAACTTGCCGTTAGTGCGACCTAATCTCACCTTAATTGCAAAGGAGAACCGATTTGACAGCTCCTCCTTACCTCAAGGTCTATCAGTCATACAGCCTCACAAAATATTGAATGGCGATACGTTTTTAATGGTCATTGGCGTTGGGATATTGGCGAAAGGTGCACGTTCCTTATTATCCAATGTAATGGCTGGTGGTTTTCTATTTACTCGAGAGGATCTCAACGTCACATATGACAACGAGCTACTGCAACAGTACAATTTAAATATCATTTTGAAAAAACGCACAGAACGAGAAACAGTGCTGCTTTTGAGAAAGGCGGAAAGCGCTATAACGAGACGAGAAGTCATACGTATAAACAATTACGAGTTTTCGTGGATCGATAAGCTCAAATCTGCGATGGACGCGGACTACGGGACGAATTCAAGAATAACACTCGTTGCTGAAGACGACTCTGTTTGCGGTATATTAGGGTTTGTAAATTGTTTGCGAAAGGAGCCAGGCGGCGAATCAGTTAGATGCGTCTTCATCCAAGATAAGGACGCGCCCAAATTCTCCTTGCAAGAACCTTTTTACATGAATCAGTTACGACTGGACTTACCAATTAATGTCTTACGTCCCGGAAATATTTGGGGCTCTTACAGACACTTATCATTACCGCCGCCGAAACTGATACCTGTGCAATGCGGTTATGTCGCTCAGGGGGTACGTAAACATTCACGACAACAAGAACGGCACGGAAAAGAATTTACATAAAACATTGTTGAACCTTGCGCGGTAAAACATCGAAATAATGCAATTCATTTCAAATAAAATACATTCCTGTACAAGAAATACAATATTAACGATAGTACAAAGTTATAAAACGAACTTAATTTTTACTAGATTCGGGGTGATATGAGCACATTCCGCTGGGTCGAAGGACAGGTATCTCCCAAAATTAAACGTGAAAATGTTATACATACAATTTACGCGACACTGAATTTCAAAGATGTTATGATAGCAACTGGCAAAATGGCGTTGGAATCCTTTCAAATGATTGGACGAGATATTGATTCTTTCTTAGGCTTTGAGCTTGTTGGTTATAATGGGTCTAGACAGAGAATGATGGCAATATGTTCCGACAGGTGAGATAATATAATTCGAAATGTTATTTGTTAAAACTTGTTATTATTATATCGAAAATACACATTTTATAACGATACTATTCTATTAAACTTTAGATTTTGCACTAATGCAGACACATTATTAATTTTTTTATGATGCCAATTTTCACATGATTGAAAGACAACGTTAAAATAAGCGAAATTGCTTATTATTTTCTAGAGGAATATCAAATGTTGTAATACATGACCACTTTCTGTCTTGGGTTATTCCCGATGAATGGACATTCGAGGACGCTGCCACTGTTCCGTGTGTTTATGCCACAAGCTGCTACGCTCTCTACGAGAAAGGAAAGATGAAGAAAGGAGACAAAGTTCTCATTCATTCGGGCACCGGTGGCGTTGGTCAAGCTGCAATCCACCTGGCACTTCACGAAGGATGCGAAGTGTTTACGACAGTCGGGACTTTGGAGAAACGACAATTCGTTAGAGAAACATTCCCTTCGATCCTTGACGATCATATCGGCAATTCTCGCGACACAAGTTTCGAACAAATGATCCTTGAGCAGACACACGGTCAAGGGGTAGATATTGTGTTAAATTCCTTAGCTGAAGAAAAACTTCAGGCGTCTGTTCGATGTTTGGCGAAAGGCGGACGATTCTTAGAAATAGGAAAATATGACTTGATTGCCGATAATACCCTAGACATGAAGATTTTTGCAAAAGGCATCAGTTTGCATTCGATTATGTTAGACAATATAGTAAATTCCAGCACGAAAAATAACGAAATTGTATATAAATATATGCTGCAAGGCCTGAAAAACGGCTCGATAAAACCACTCCCGAGGAAAGTGTTCGAAAGGACCGAAGTAGAAGCTGCCTTTAGATACATGGCAGCTGGCAAGCATATAGGAAAGGTAATTTCTCGCGCAGACAAAAGTTTCTTCTTTTTATTGTTGGCGCTCCGTGAACGATCATATGAAATTCTACTACTACTTTTCTTATTTTCAGATCCTGATAAAGATACACGATGAAAACGAGCCATTAGGTCTTCCTGTTCTCGCTTATCCACGATTTTTCTGCAAGCTTCACAAGTCTTACATCATTTTAGGCGGCCTAGGCGGCTTCGGTCTGGAATTAGCCGACTGGCTGATTCTTCGCGGAGCAAAGAATCTTCTTCTAACTTCGCGCACTGGGCTGCGTAACGGTTATCAGCGCTCAAGGATGGAACTGTGGAGATCTTACGGGGTGAATGTGCAAATTATCGCGGGTGCTGATGCGTCCGATCGCAAGGACTGTGCGTTCATTTTGAATTCTGCCGCTGAAATGGGACCGGTGGATGCTATATTCAATCTTGCCGTGGTGCTGAAAGACTCGATTTATAAGAATCAAACCGCTGAGTCCTTTAAAGAATCATTCAAGCCGAAGGCAATGGCCACGAAGATGATGGACGAGCTATCCAGAAAGATGTGTCCTGATCTCCGGCATTTTATCGTCTTTTCGTCCGTCTCGTGTGGCCGAGGAAACGCCGGACAAACAAATTATGGTATGGCCAATTCTGTCATGGAGAGGATATGTGAGAGGAGAGTACAGGACGGATTACCTGGGATGGCTATACAGTGGGGTGCGGTGGGTGATGTGGGCCTCGTAGCAGATATGCAAGAGGATAATAAGGAACTGATTATCGGCGGTACTTTGCAACAGAAAATTCAGTCCTGCCTTGAGTCATTGGACACTTTTATGATACTAAATCGACCGATCGTGGGCAGTATGGTCGTGGCTGAGAAGCGTGCGGAATTAGCTGGAGTAATGGATATTTTGGAGACCGTAGCTAGTATCATGGGTAATCTTCTTCTTTCTATATATATAATAAATCTGTTGCACGTTTCGAGATTTTCGCGATGAAACATTGAAGATATAGCTAATGAATTATGGTTAATTATACATTGCTTCCTCTATATGTGATCTGAATGTTGTGTTTTTTCCGTGCCTTTTGTTGTCATAAATGAATATAAGCGACCGTGGCTAGAAATCAAGAGCCTTATTTTTTTCCGTATTTGCCCGTCTAGGAGTGAAAGACGTGAAAACGGTCGGACATCGCACTCCATTGTCAGAGATCGGTATGGACTCGATGATGGCGGTGGAGGTCAAGCAAACGTTGGAGCGAGAATTTGATGTTTATCTCACAGCACAAGACATTCGAAGTCTCACTTTCGAGAAACTCCACAATATGGCCAACAAAGACAAGCGTTTCGAGCAGACTGAAATATTCGATCCGCCAGGTGAAAAATTTTTGATTCATTTATTGAGCAGTTTAGATATCGTACCAGATGTTTGCTTGGAGATGACTACAAGAAATGAGGCGAGCAAAAAGCAAATATTTCTTCTACCAGGAATCGAAGGTTGCGCAAGCATATTTAATTCATTGGCCTCGAAAATTAAAAGTCCCGTTACATGTTTGCAACACGGAGCAAATAATATCCCCATGAGCGAATCCGTGCTGCAGTCGGCTGCCACTCTAATACCTGTACGTATTAATATAACAGAGAAGGTATCTGTTCGATATTTCAATGAATCCATTCCAGATTGATATCGGATTATATCGATTAAAAAGTAATACAAAGACTTTTTATATCTTTCCTGTAGCATATAATATCGAAGATAGAGAATTCCGCAGAATTCATAATAGTTGGGTACTCGTATGGGACATTAATTGCTATCGAGGTAATGAGACTGTTGGAGGCCAGAAATTTCACAGGATATTTAGTATTAATCGATGGCACGCCTGACTATATGAAAACTATGAAAGAACATCATTTTTCTTTCACCAATCTCCAGGAGTTTCAAAACAATATTCTCCTAAATGTTCTGGATTTATTTTACTCTATCAATAATACATCGGTACGTTGTATAAAATGAGTTTATTGTTATAATATAAAATATAATAATAACAATAACTGTTAACAGATTTTAATACAATTGTCCAAGCACGACACGTGGGAGAAGAAGTTGGATGCTTTTATCGAATGTCTCCCAGACGAAATTATACCAGCGACTTCGGTTGAAAATTACAGGACTTATTATACAACAATTTATAAGCATCTGGTCGCTATTCACGAATATAATGCGTCTTTACTGCCGCCACTGAAATCACATATATTGTTACTAAAACCCACAATGCCGTATTTACTTTCTGCAGATGAACATGACGGCTTGAATAAGGTATTCTTGATGCAATGATACGTAACAATGCGAAGTTTTCATCTTTGAAAATCAATTGACGACAATGTTAACCATTTATTTAGATAACCAAAGGTAACGTACAAGTCCGCTATGTCGAAGGTAATCATCTCACGATGTTGGAAAGCAATGAACTTGCTGATATTATTAATGAAATATCGTCTTAAGCAATTAAGTTTTATAATGTTGAAAAGTTCGCGATTTTAATTAAATCGAAGGAGTTAAGGTGGAAAGTGAACAGGGATACGCAGACATTTATTGTAAACAAAGCAATGATAAAATCTAATAAACTGGTATAAACTGATGTAAGCTTCTGTATTCTCTTATAATTTTTTATGGTAAATATACCGGAAGAGGGAACCTATCTCCATTGACCTTAATTTCTACATATATTTTCAAGATTACCCTTCTTAAGCGCCTTTCAAAAGGCGCCGAGCCACCTTTTATCACATCTCATATGTACTGTTTAATATATTTTTAACTTACACTGTGTCAGAAAAACAAGCTCTATTAATGAAACTCGTTTGTTAATTTCATTTATTAATAAACAATGAGCAGCGACTAAAATCTTTGAAAATTACTCAGGAAAATATCCTCTATATAAATAATACATCTTAAGATCACAGCCATTGAAGCTGGTTCTCTTATTTGATATTATTTACAATTTGTATTTACATATACAATGTGTTTTATGACTCAGTACGAGGAATTCGTAGAGAAATAGAACGGATTAAAACTAATAATAAATTACTGTTTTGTGATAATCTCAATTATTGAGTTGTTATTAAGTCTATACATAAGTTCAATATCTTTTTAGCAGGATTTTAATATTTATCCTATCTTTTAAAAAAACGATTAACTTGTTAATCTTCCCCACCTTTTTCCATATATTCTGCCATCTTTCAGGCAGCTGGCAAATCCCGTTTCAATAAAGGACGGTGGTTTAAACTCAATGAAGTCATCGATGCTTCCTTTCGACTTTCTCTGGAGATTGAAAGTGGGAATACACAAAGTGATGCTGAAGCAACCGGAATAGGTGATAATCCGTAGGGCCAAGATCTGGAAAAGAAACCGCATGTAGGAGAATTTTCCAGTTCAAAAAACAGATAAGTTCCACGGTCACTTTGCCGTGTGTGGCCGCACATTATCGTGCAGCAGAAGTACATGCCGGGTTCTGCTGCCGGTAAATAGTATTTTTCTCGCTTAAATTAACCCATTTGCATCCGTAAGCGGAATAATCCGCATAATGATCATTATGTATCATTAGCCGTTGAATATTCCGCGACCCACGATGTTCACTTATTACCAACCGCGGAATAATATGTTCACAAAGACGTTCACTTTTCGCCAATGATACGCGTTAATGCACGGTGGTACAAGCCGACTGTCAGTTGAATATCTCCGACTTTTAAAGTTAGTTATGTATTTAGAGCTGTGATGCAAATGGGTTAATGAGTTGCTGTTGATAACGTTCAAAAGTAACAGTCTCATTGGATTTGAGCAACTCATAATAAATAACGCCTTTAAAATCCCATAAAATACTTACAAGGAACATCTGCGAAGTATGTTTCCGATTTCAACGAAATTTGGCATATTTGTAGAGTAGCCAAAAGTAAAAGATCGTACTTTTTTTATCGGCAATCGCGCAGGTTTAAGGGATGAAACTACCCCTCAAATTTTCATCCCCTTTATATTATCTCGATAACTATTGCAGATAGGAAAAAGATTTTTAAACAAAAATTGTACGGTTTTGTTAGGAAAAATAAAATAAGTTTGGTTAAAATAAAATAAAAATATATCTTTAATAATTAACAAAATGACCATAGGAAATTTAATTAATTAATTCATCAAATTCATCATATAGAAGAAAAAGTTAGCATTTTTCATTCTGAAATCATTCATATATAATGTTTTATATTTAAATTATTCGTACATTGCAATTTTATAAGTGGAAATGATACCATAAGCCAAGTGCTCGATAACGTGCGTGAGCGCTTAATCGCTATATCGCTACGCAAATAACGAATATCTATTTACATCTTTTGAACGCATTTTAAGTAATACAACAATATAAAATAATTCAGAAATTATTAATACATGAACGCAGACTGCCGAACATTTTTTTTATTTGTAACATACGAGGTTTGATAAAAATGTAACGAGAATTTTTAATTTTAACTCGAAAAGTATTTATTTAATCTTCAACGTTTATCCCATCTCCTTCAAAGTAGTCCCCCTGTGATATTATACACTTATGCCAACGTAGTTTCCAGTTTGAGAAACTGGAAACTGGTGGAACGCCTCTTTAGGCATCGTCTTGAGCTGGATCTGCGATTTCGCCTTTATCTCATCTATTGTTGAAAAACGTTGTCCTTTGAGTGTCCTTTTGAGTTTGGGAAATAGGAAAAAGTCACAGGGGTCATGTCTGGAGAATAAAGTGGTCGCGGCATCACAACGGTGTTGTGCTTCGCCAAGAACTGTTGGATAAGCAAAGTGGTATGCTCTCTGATTCGACATTTCGCCACACAAAAAACACACTAAAGTACGTCAAACACGCTAAAGTACGTCTTGCTCATTCGCTCGCCAAACACAAACTAAATGTCGCAGCTGCTTGAAAATTGGCACGTACGTCACTGATAGTGCTACCGACACACAAAGAAAAAATTAACTGAATAAACAAGATACAGCGCGCAATTTCAACATTCTCGTTACTTTTTGATCAAACCTCGTATATGTAAGTTGATTTAGTTAGTGGTTATTAGCTAACATTGATTGTTGTCAAAGTTTCAATATATATAAGTTTATATATATACACAAAGTGATTCAGGACCTCTGCAACTCTGCAAACTTTAACCCTTTCGCTTCGCAGTCCAGTCCGCCGAAGTGCCGTCACTGAACGGAAGCACGCGCCAGAAATGTGCACAGTGCGCGGTTTTTGTATACGTTTTCCTAAGTCTTAAATAACAACTGTGCTTAATAAAACAATCGTTGCTCTGATATAACAAGTATAGTTTACATTTTTAATATAAAAAGACTTAAACAAAATTATATTAGTTGTTCTAAAAACATTAGACCAATTATAGTTTATATATTTTTAGGTATTTGTATATTTACAAGACTTTACGGTTAAATGTTTAATATAATTAATAATGTAACGCAAATTGGTTAATGTATTAAATCTCTAAAAAAACGTACATTAAATATCGTTTGACTGTCGAATGAATTCGATAGATTTTTGGAATGAAACAGTAAACAATCGTTTTGATGTCTGAAGTATATTACGTAATACGTTTTGATGTCGTAATAACGAAGATTAGTTTTAATGTGTGATTAATCCAATGTATCAATAAAATCAACAAAAAATGTTCTGCCGATAACGAAGAATTTATCATCGACTACAGATGGCACTTGTATACACATCATATGAATGCCGGATATATCCGGCGCTCGTGTTCACAGGTCGTCGCGTGGATGCCGGATATATCCGGCGCTCGAAGCGAAAGGGTTAAGGGACAATAGGTCCTGTACAAAGGACCATTTTTTGTCAAACAACCAATGTTCTCTGACGCGTCGTTTCTGACGCGAAACGACCTGCATCTTATTTTCGTTCCGAAGAGACAAAAATATCGAGAGCGCGGTAGTCGCTAGACCGGGAATCAAACCAGGGTCTTTCGCTTGCCGGACGACTGCTCTAAACTACTGAGCTACCTGACGCTCCACGCTCACAACATTCTCCTCTCCCTAGATATACAGCGTAATAAGACCGCGAAGGTCTTATATTATAGGTAACATTGATTACGATTATGACCTCCTTACTTATTATAAAGAAGATGCTCAAAGTTTCTACCCTGAACTTCATTGCATTCATGGCATCGTCGTAACATCGATTGGTGGGACAGGCACGGAAATAAAATATTAAATATCGAAATATGGATAATAAGGTTTTAATCTAGACCTAAAATAAGAAAAGTCCTCACAAATTACAACGAGGTGTGATCATTCGTTATCGAGAAATTAAAGCGGAAAGTTCAAGGCCGATCGATGCGAAAATAGCGTGTTACCGGATATAAGCAAAATTATTTGCTATAAGACATTAATCTAGATTCGAAATAAGATTGATCCGTGCAAACCGCATCGAGCTGTGATCACGCGTTTCGGAGTTACAAGCCACGAAAGATGGAAAAGTGGCAGGCTCGACAATAAGTTGTCACGAAATATTAATTATCAAAATATGAGTCATAAGGTTTTTTAGTCTAGACCCAAAATAATAAAGATCCTCGTGTACAGCACTGAGCTGCGGTTACGCCTTTCGGAGTTACAGACGACGATAGATTCAAAAGCGATAAATTCGGAAATGACGAGTCATGAAGTGATAGGGAACGAAAATGAATGATAATGTTTTAATCTAAATCCAGAATAACTAAAATTCCTGCAACTAGGTACGCCTACTTATTATGGAGTATTTAATGCGGTTAGATCAAGATAGATCGATGCGAAAATGAATCACTAGGTCTAAGCGTGCATATTGCTCCCTCTGTCGAGAGACATGTGATTCACGGAACGGAGGTCGTTTATTTTTGGAGTCAATTCTGGGAATCGACAATTTACTACATGGATAGCATTAGTTCTAAGAATTGATCTTCCTATTGCCAAGTTAAAAGAACGCGATATCGTGATGGGGACGATTTTGAATTTTAATAATACGAAGAATGTAAAATAATCTTACTCTTTAGTCGTTTCTGAAGATCGCCTTTACAAAATACAGGGTGTTATAAAAGTCCCGGAAGTGCAGAATAACTCGAAAAATATGAGCCTTAGAAAAATGCGAAGTACTGGGTTTTTATGATTTTTTCTTGGCTATCTGATAGTGACCTTGGATTTGACCTTGACAATGACCTTGAAGGTCATTTTAAGGTCAGATCAATTTTTTAAATGGGACCCTATACTTTTGACCTCAGAAATGGAAAGAGCGGAAAATTTTACGTTCGGATATGACCTTGAACACTGCCAAATTTGACCTCTGAAAGTCACATAAAGGTCTAAGCTTGTTTTAGGCTGAAAACACGAATATCTTCGAAAATGCACCTGTTAGGGAGCAATGTTACGCATAAGAATAAGAATGCAGAGGTTAACGAGGGACATTCAACCGTGACCTTGCCCTTATTCTCAAGGTCATGAATTAAGATTATTATTAAAGTATACAAACCGGACTTTTTCAGGACTGAAAATCCATACTTTTGACCTAAAAGTGTCAAGATTGAAATATTTTATGTTCGGATATGACGTTTTCAACCTTGACCTTGTTCTCAAAATTATGCGTTTTACGTTACTTCACTGATCGTGAAGTCTACTGAAAGTAAAGCGTCTCAGAACCCGACCACTGAAGGCAAGGTGTCTCAAACCCGACCACTGAAGGCAAGGTGTCTCAAACCTGACCACTG